CTCCTACTCTGTTAGCCACCTTCTCGGCCTTCCCCCCTTCCCTTGTCCCCCGTCCTTCTCCCCTCCTCTAATCCCTCCCGCACCTTCCCTTTTCCTTCCTTCCCCTCTACTCTTCTCCCCTTTCCCTCCCCCGTACTCCCGTCCCCCTTCCCTCCTTCTCCCCCCTAACCGTCCCCCTTTCCTTATCCTCCCCCTCCCCTCCCCTCCCCTCCCCCCCACCAGTCTCCACCTTGGCCAAAACCTTGCAAGACCTCCATATTGCCACGCTCTGCATACGTTATTTTTCTAAGTTGCAGAGAATTTGCATATAAAATTACACACCACAGGCTATTGGTGAAATGTGCATCGGTCGAATGAATTTCAGAATAAAAATGAGTCGAGAGGCAAACTATTTGTGTAAGATACATGTGATGTTTCATTTCTTTCCCATTTTCTTTTTTTTTTTTTGTTTATAAATCTTATGGCGTCTTCCATGTCTTGCTTTGCCTACATTGTTGCGATTTTCTCTCTCTTGCCAGATTTGCCCCGCCAGATTTTTTTGCATTTTTTTCTTACTTTTTACTCTTTTTTGAGTCATGTAATAGACCATGCACATTGATTCCTAGCAAATCGAGTAAAATATAAAGTCTCAGTTATACTTATTTTTCGTTCGCTTGCTTTCTTCTTCTCCTCCTCCTTTTCTCTCCTTTCTTTACTCTTCTTTCTCTCCCCTTCCCTCCCCCCCCTACTGCGTTCCCCCTCCCCTTTCCCACCTTCTCCCCTATACTTTTTCCTTTCCCTCATTCCCCCCTACTCTTTCCCCCTCCCCCTCTCCCTTTCCCTCTTCTCCTATCCTTTCCCTCCTTCCCTCCTCCCCTCCCTTTTCCCCTCCCCCTCCCTTTCCCCTCCTCTTTTCCTATAATAAGCTATTGTATATCATCATATTTTGACGCATTATATATATCATCAGATTGTTATATAAAAAAAAAATATTGATATTGCATCTTATACACTATCAGATTCTTATCAAACATCAAATCCCATTAAATCATCATAACACATGACATATCACAAGATAATCATTACACATTTCACGTCAGATGATCATTACACACTAACTATCACTACATTACCCTAGCACATTATTAGACACTAAACCACTATTTTGAGATTTTGCAAAACACGTTACATACCAACGTTATTCGTGTAGTTTGGATTCAAATGAAAACAAACACAATTTAGAGACGTTTTACATATGCAAATATACAAGCTTATTTACACGAATATAGATGTCTCTTCTAACGTGTATATCGGTAATAACTAATTCAAGTGCAATGAATAATACTGCTGCTGCTGATGATGGTGATAATGATAATAGTGGTAATATTAATAGTAATAATGATGATGAATATTAAATAATGATAATAACAATAACGATAATAATGATAATGATAGCACTACTATCAGAGGTATTATAATGATAATATGAATAGATAACGATAATAATGCTGACAATAACAATGATTATAATAATGATAATAGCAATATTGATAGCAATGATAATGATGATTATGATAATAAAAATAATGAATAATAATAATTAATAATAGTAATAATAAAAAAATAAATATTACAATAATGATAACAATAGTAATAATGAAGCATAGTAATGATCAATAAAAAATTATTATTATCATCAATTTATCAATCATTATATAATGATAATTTCATAATGATAATAACAACAAATAATAATAATGCAAAAAATAGCAATTATAAAAATCAAAACAATATTAACCTACAACACTACAACAGTAGTCGCTGAAAAGTCTCCCCTGACGAAGGAGGAGGTCACCAGCAGAGGTCAAGAGAGGTCAGGTCAGGATATGAAGGATGTTGATGTGGTCTTAGTTCCTATTTTATGACAACTAATCACTTTTCCGTTTTCTATTGAGAGGGAAGGCGATTGTACGTGGGATGGGTATCTTTCATATTTTTGTTTATTTATTTATTTGTACTTGTTTATCCTTGTTTGTTATTTTGGTGTTTCTTTTATTCTTTGTTTATGTGCTTTATTTATTTTGTGTATATATTTTCGTAACGTAGGACGTATGAGCTTCTTAATTTTAATTTCTTTGATACACTTCAATCATATGAGATATATGCGAAAACATTTATATGCATTAGGCATTCTAGACTCTTATCTATTCCACATTCTCTGATCTATCTGTCTGTCTGTCTGTCTCTGTCTCTGCTCTCTGTCTCTGTCTCTCTCTTGTCTCTCTCCTCTTGTCTCTCTCTCTCTCCTCTCTCTCTTCTTCTCTAATTTATATTATATATATATATATATATATAATATATTATATAATATGTAGTCCATCTTTTGGCTTATATTCTGATGTCTCCTATCATCCATTAATCGCAACTATTGTTGACAGCATCATTATCCTATGGGGGGGGGGGATTTTGTTAAACATTAGAATCAACGTTTATTGTCCCTTCTCACAGAATAACAAATTCCACCTGTTAGATATTTACTACGAACCTACAGCCGCTACATTCACACACGATACAACTCCTAATACACACAACATCAACGCTTCATTTCACGTACTACATTCACACACAATACCATTCTTAAAACACGTAATATCTACGCCTCATTTCACGTTTTGACTGGAGCGTTTCCGGTGTTGTGGCTTCCTCGGCGGCTTAGGAAACTTTAATCATGACAAAACGGGTGGCTCGCATATTTAGTCAGAATGGAGTATCGTTTTTTGTTTTATTCTCCTCTCTGGAAAGGTCACAGCAGCTCCACAGACGAAAGGTTTTATCGATATCCTTTGAATATTCAGCATTATTTTTGTATCGCCAAATATGATCAATAGATACGTGGCGAAATTGGAAGGGTTTGTTTTATAAGAAAGATTGGGATGTTTTATACGATAGATAAGCTGGTTTAGTGTGTATGAGTTGGGAAACGGAGTAGAGTATTAAAGTAGAAGTATTTAGGACTGAAGTGCTGCTGGTTCAGTCACGGTCAAAACTCTCGTCACACGTTTCGAATTCTGTTTCGGACAACCGCTCAATACCACACCTTTTGTATTGGGTGAGACAGATTCGAAGCTTCAATTCATATAAGTACTTTTGCCCGTCGCTGTACTTGGATGAAATACTGTAATCAAGATAGAGATATAGTACATATGTACAGTTTAGTTCTTCCAGAGTGCTTGCTTTAGTACAACTTATCAACATAGTTTGTCGTAATCTCGGAACTTGCATCACATTGTCCTGTTTCATTCTTATGAGAAATATAGTTCAGTATTCAAAGGATCCATAAAATGAACCAGATTTTGTTTACGGATAAGAATTATGTTAGTAAGCTAAATGATCTTATTAAAGGAAATTTTAGTTAAACGTATTCCTGATGTCACCTTCTATAGTGCTATCCGTACTAACAACGATTGTGTAGCCTTCCACAGTCTCTGCACATAACACAAGAGTAAATTGTTCTGATTATTAAGAGTTGCAATACACATTTCCTAAGTATGTAGTTCTTTTTGGGAGCTTTCTTTGAAATCTTCCAAAATGGAATACGATGTAAGCATACCTTTCAATTTATCATATTGATTGAAATAGTATTGCTTATTTACCACATACAACATTATGCCTACGCAACGCTTTCAACACATACAAATAAATGCCAAGAACGCTTTTCATTAGTATAGCTATGTTCCATTTGAACTGCTATCCATATTTTTGTTATAATACAGCATATGGTTCTAATACTGTGTTGCTATTATCTACACCCGAGTGATTGATACCGAAGTGGCACATCGAAACATTGTGCAGGGCAGTGGTATAAACTTTTGGTTTTTCTTTAACTATGCTTTCAAGGGCGAATTCCATAAGCTTTCCTTGTGGTGATACCTTTTCTCCTTAAACTGAAAATTCCATTACACAAGAAGCTATCTCTTTTTTCCTCTGAAACGACAATTTTCCAATGGTGAGTCGGTAAAGATGCCCGTATGACAAGAATTTTTGTTTTTGTTTTTTTTTTTTTTTTGTCTTGTCATTCTAACGGGTGAGTGGATGATTAAATTGTAAAATATGTTTTGCTAGATATAATGTTACCAACTATTAATCATCAACTATCAGAGGAGAGAGAGTAGAGAGAGTAGAGGATAAGAGAGAGAGAGAGGAGAGAGAAGAGAGAGAGAGAGAGGAGAGAGAGAGAGACGAAGATGAAGAGAGAGACGAGAGAGAGAGAGAGAAGGATGATTAACTATATATATATTATATATATATATTTATATATATATATNTATATATATATATATATATATATATATATGTATGTATGTATGTATGTATATATATACCTTCATTAATGTCTACTGTTGTTGTTTTTTTATTCCATCTATGTATTTATTCATTTATTCTTACTGGGTGGGTAATAACGGTTGGAATGTTAGTGCAATATATTCAGGTATCCGAATGATAATATAAAAGGAAGAAAGAAGAAAAAAAAGAAAAAGAAACAAAACAATCTGAAAGAATCGAAATCTAATCTGCTAATCTTCCTAATGTTTACAAGTACTAAAGGTTGTTGAAATACAATACGTAATATACTATGCAAATCTGAGATCTTTGACTCTTGACAGGGTCACCGCTTGACAGGGTCACCGGGAAATACTGCATTTGCAATACATCTTTTGCATAAAATCTAATCATTAAACCACATTAAGTACTTTCTCTTAAATGTTTACAATGACTGAGTAATAATCTCTAACATTATTTGGCACTTGTGAAATGTTATTTATTACTTCCATATACCGGATGAGTGAATAAGAATCGATTAGACTATCAAAATCCACGGGAAAGCAAAGGATTTACAGGAACCCCAAAACTCCTGATTATGGAAAGGACTTTGCACAAGAAAGAGAAAACAGAAATGTCGTCCTCGCCACAAAAAAAAAAAAAAAAAAAAAAAAAAAAAAAAAAAAAAAAAAAAAATCGGAGGGACTACTTCTTGAGGTAAGACGACCTCGAGATGTAAAAAAAAAAATCGGCCGAACGAGAGAGCGCCTTAGTTGGTCGGGCCGTCTTCGAAGAGGATGTCGGACTGGAGAGCCGACTCGTCCGCTGGAGGAGCTATCGACCCCGAGAGGATGCGGTCGGTGAGCTCGTCGTCGAAGTCGTCCACCCTGGGACAGTCGATGCACCTGCAGGGACCAATCACTCAGAAATGGTGCAGATGACATGATTCGCTGCTACATGATTCGTCAACTGAATGATATATGCTAATGTGGGATGATGCGCTTATATACTGCAATGCACTGGTATGCGGTATTAAATCCATGTAACGTCATGCACCGATATGATATACATTAATTCACAAGTACAATAGCATACATGAATTCAGTGATATATACCAGTAAAATACTATACATCAGTATATGATACTACACTTTAATAAACTAATATCCAGCAACACATATACCAAATATAGTACGCCTAAATGGTATAAATACAGACATGTAATCTGATTAATTATCGTGATGTAGTACATTGACAGCTCTAATACATTCCATTCTGCTAGGATGGCGTTGGAGTTCAGCATGTCAATTAGATAAATCACGTACTAGTAAGACTTTCTACCTCTCTCTTTCTCTCTCTCTCTCTCTCTCTCTCTCTCTCT